ATTAACAAAATTAACAAATAAAATCAAATTTAAATTTTATATTTTTTATAACAAAGTATTAATAGATGCTAACAGCCAACTAATAAAACATTATAATCTAATATTAAGTAAAAATTATTTTCTTCGATTCATATAAATGAAAGACTAAAAATATCATAGTATAAAGTAAAAACTAAAACTTACAAATTTACTAAAATAAAGAACTAAAAATAAGTTTTTGCCCTCATTGTGGGGGTAATTTAAATACTTCCAAATTTCACATGGTAAGCTGTGTAATATTTGGGTCAATCATTTCTTCGACACAGTACAGACAATGGATCGACCTAGGGGAACTAGAATTGTTATGGTAAAAGTGCACCAGAAAACTGACAGCATTCTTCTTGGATATACATTTACTAAAACAGAGCCCGAATGAGGATCTTACATACAAGGGAAGGTTGCATTTGGCTGCGATGCTAAAACGTGCAACTGCAAGATTATTCTGATAATATTCTAGTAGGATATCTAGGCCGAACATAAGGAAGCCCTTTGCTTTGCTAGTAATCCCGTTAGTTGCTTTACGTGGTGGGGCTTAGATAGAATGTAATCTTGAAAGGATTTCCTCAATGTCTGCAACAATTCTATGTTATTGTTGTCGGGGCTTGTATTGAGCAGCTTAATAAAGAGATTCTCCCACAGATGAACCTTCCAATATCTGAAAATAGTCGTATAAGCAGAAAGTCACAAGGAAGCAAGTTTGACAAAAAAGGAAAATTCTCTTTCAGGTAAACAAGATAAACTTAAACAGCTAGTGAGAAAGCACAATGTAAGAGAAATACCGCTTAAAAGACAATTTTGGCATATAAATGTAGCCACCATCAGATGATGGTTTCCTTTTTATCTCCATGTAAGAATTATGCAGCATCATATGGACTATAACACACAGGCCATATGTATCCACCTAGTGACAGTGACACAGAAGAGCTAAGACAGCCAATCTATGAAGTTAAAACCTTGCACTTGCCCAGTAAGAAGACTTACCTGAAATTTCCATGGTTTGTTCTCTTGCATTTCAATACAGCGGAAGCCAGAAGTCCGGCAACCTCCTGTAAACTCTATGCCTTCAGGAAAGAGGTGCAGGTCAATTCCCCTTCCCCAGTCAACAAGACAAAGACCCTAGAAAATTAAACTATTAAGTATGATCATAAAGAACCAAAGAAGTCAAATATACACACACACACACATATATATATATATCCTTTGTTTTAAGAAGAAATAACCTGATTACACCAAGAGCCACTACGATCAGTAAATCCCTCTTCTGTGAGCTCTTCCCTGCCGAATTGTCAGACAAAAGATGTTATTTGTGTCAGCACCATATTCAGAAATGAAAATTATTTTATGGTAACATTGCTACCCAAAACATTTTTGAAATGCTGGACCTAAGGAAGATATGCTATTAACGCTTTGATTTATCTATGCAACAAGGAAATAATGTAAAATATTATGCATATAGTACATGTGAACTATGATGTTCCAGAGCTAGTGCAGAAGATAGTATTGCAAAGGTGGAGCATTATTGGCATTTCCAAGAAGGATTGAGACATCTTGACATCCACCTAACAGAACTGCAGAAGTGAATCAATGGAATTCTGCTTGAAATTGGTTTTTGACCTGTTATTCTGAAAAGACACCAATGTTGTTAAAACTCTCTCAGTACCCTAAGCATTAGCAAGATACATTGACTTTGCTTTCAGGATGATCCTTGAGGACGCTAAGAAGGCTGCTTTCTGACTTTCGTCTTGGGATAGGTCATTATCTTGTAAGGTGTGCTCTTAAGGAAATCAGAGAAAGGTATCCTTCTTTTATGATGAAGGATCTCATATGTCTATGTATGCTTAATTTATCAATTTTATGGAGTTTTCTAGGTTAAAGGAACTCCAAGTGCCATCCATGATTGCCTGATTGGCTTATGCCAGAAGTAAATAGTCATGAAACAATGGCAATACTATATATGAGATCATGAATAAGGAGAAGAATATACAAAGTCAATCCATATTTGTATTTGCTGTGTGAATCTATCTAAAGTAAATGCAGGCTGTATTTTCCTCATAGAAGACAAATCAATTTTCTTGAGCAAGAGGTACAAGATATAATATAATATCTAAAAGACTAGAAAGCAGAACAAAAGATTTGCCTTTTCATATTTAGATGTACATACATAACATATACCAAGAAAATCCAGCATTTCTTTTAAATCAACCAAACTTACTGGAGAAACATTTCAAAGGTGAATCATTTTCTGGAGTCCAAATCATTTCTACAGGCTAATAAGGAAGAGCACAATGTACCGCAGAATGTCATAGAAGACTGCCAGTTAACACCACTCATACTTCTGATACAACACTGATTTTGCTAGGGTGCACCAATTTTTGTGTGGTCTAAAAATTTCCTACTTACCACTATCAGAGAATCAAAGAGGTTCTGAGCTAATAAATAAAATTAAAAACAGAAAAGCCTCCTCCTAGATAGATACAATGATGAGCAGTGCATTCTCTTTTTTTGATCAGCCAGTGATGACCATGAGTAGTTCTGGGTTTTACAAAAGAAAGTTCCAGAAACAAGCACGACACTATGAAGTCTAGTCACAAATATTATATTTATGAGTTCCAAAATACAATTTAAGGACATATCTCCAAATATAGCCACAATCTACAGTAGGGATGGAAGAAAAAAAGAAGCTTACCTAGAATAGCGCATGAGAAGGTTGTCAGGCTTAAAATCACCATGGATGATACCTACACTATGCAAAGTTTCCAGCATGTAAAGCATTTCCATAGTGTAATAAATACACAAGAGCTCTTCCATTGGCCTGCCAGTGACAACATAAGAATTTATGGCATCCTGCAGAATTGCAAGCATAATAGGAATAAGTATTAGAAAAGGGCACTTTTCCTTTTTTTTTTTTTTTTTTTTTTCTTTTCTGACCTTTTCTGTAGGAGAGAAAGCTGTTATTTAGTGCACCCCAAGATGTATCTGATATAATATCACATAACAGCAAAAACCTACCTGAAGCGTTCCATGAGATAGGTAGTCACAAATGAGTATGCTACAGTCAGGGTAAAGATGGATTTTGTGAGCAAAACCAAAGCTTGATCTCTGATAAAATTTAGGGGAAAAAAATAGAAATTGGTACAATTCACTGGGCCAGAAAATAATTTTAAACAGTGTAAACAGACAAGTAGTGTACATGATTGCCTGCAATTCGCTGATCAAGTTGACGATACATGTAGAATTCCCAAGGAAAAGCTGGCTCTTGTATCTGTAATTTATGACAAAAACTTGAATAAAAAAGATGACAATTTTTTATTGATATGAAAAACAAGGGAAGGGCAGCAAACTGGTACCTTCAATGCAATGACATCATCGGGATTACCATCAAGATATGCTTTATATACTTGAGCAAAGCCACCTTGACCAGCACATCCTTTGATCTGGTACTTCTTTCCACCTTTTTGAAAGTACACAATATAAACATTAAAATTTGATCCTGATAATGCACTTGTGCCACTAGGTAAGTAGAATTCATAGAATGCAGGCTCAGAAATACATTCATTTTCCTCTAAACACATTATATAGTGTAAAGAAAATACCTTCTTTTTTTTTTTTTTTTATGATAAGCAAAGCAAATACCTTACTTAAGGAGGCAGAAAAAAGCATTACTTGGTATTTCTAGTTCTCTCAAAGATAAAGCACAGTTTAAATGATACCCAGTTGTGAATGAAGAATATAAATGTCCAGAAGAAACATGTCATAGTAGACGCTTTATTCACCAACTTATATGTATATGTTAAAAGTAGAAATACTTTATATTTTTGAGACATTTTGTAAGCTGTACACAGGCAGCTATATATTCTTTGTACACACTTTCTATCAGCCTTCTTAGATCTGTGTTTCTCTTTATACCACATGTCTATGAATCTATTATCTTTATTCACAATGAACCATATAGCTCCATAACTACTGAAACAGGTTTGCTGTGATGATCAGAAATTAATGTGTCACGAAACTTCAACATGGAGAAACTTATTCCCTTGAAGAAGCATGGGGGTACTTATAGTTGTTCTGAAACGTCAAGGTACAGCAATTATACCATCTAGCTATTTGCTAGCAATAAAACTGAGAAATTTTTGGGACTGTGATTTTGATTTTATAAGTTATTATCTCTAGTCTTTACTTTCCAAAATGTTCTACAATATGTAATGTTTTCTTAGAAAAAAATAAATCCATAAACCAAATGCTAATCCTAACTACCATCAATTCAATCTTTTTATTTTAAGAAAGCACTTTACAGAAATCATGCTAGTTAAACACTAAAAAATAAAAGCATATTGAATTAATTATGCAAATAAACAAAGAGAGTAAATCTAGAAAAAGAGAGTCACCAATTTCGATAATTTGATTCCTTGATGACTTCTTCAAAGAAGATAAGGCCACTTTCCCAGAGAAAACTTTCTTAGTTAGATGGTACCCCTGAAAGAAATGGAAAACACTATAGAAAGATTGCCCAAAAATCAGCGAGAAAGAAACAGGACTGAGGACAAAAGATACAATTGCCTCACATCATAATTTCTCATTTGGAAACCTATCTTCTCCAAGAGGTTATTCATGGTGGATGCAGACCATGGATTGGCATAATCTTTACCAAATTCAACAGATTCATCACCATCAACCTGCAAGACAATAATCTTATAATAAATCATCTCACTATCTCAGCACCTATACATACCTTGCATCACCCAAGATACACTTCAACTAAATCTTAAAAACATAAGAAATGAGAAAAAAAAAAAATAAAGGTTTATTCTGTCAAGCTCTGCTGAGTGATATGACCTCAAAGGGCATGATTTGGCATTAGAATATTTATAAATGAAATGCTTGTTGATGAAAATAAAGTTGGGACTTGGGAGGTTATAAGAAAAACTGTCTACAAAGCTAGTAAAGGATGTCAAAAATTGACCCATGAGAAAGACAAAAGCATGGTGTGCAAACACAATCATTCGAAGACAGTTAATGGCCAAAATTATGAACTTATGTAGAGAACAACTTTAAAGCCTCATCTATGAAAGAAAAAGGATTCTTTACCTGCATCATGTCCACAGATCCAGAGATATTAGTGTTTAGTCTTTCAGACATTCTATCAATGAATAAGGATCGTGCACTCTTCAGTTTCTCAAGTGGCTCTGCTCCCCTATTTTCCAAAAATAACATTGATGATTCAAAAAATGATCAAGATTAAATCAATAAAATCCCACTTCAAATAAAGAGAATGACCTTGAAATGCCAGTCTGGTAAACCATATTTGCTTCTTTCCACCTGCCTTTTGCTTCAAGAAAATATGCATACCATTCATAAAGCAGATTATGTCCAACACATATCTCATTTTCCTCCATCTCTCTAAACACCCTCTCAAAATCCTCACTTCCCTCCAACTACAAAAACCAGAAAAATGAAGTTAACAAACTAAGTCTTTTAAATCCTACAAAGTTCACGCATCAAAGGACCAATCCAGAGAAAGGCAGATTTGCTTGCAGAGAAAATATATTACTGGGTGTCCAAGCAAAATTCAGGAAATATTGAAATCCAAAAGCAATCTCTAGATTAACCCAAGTCCCAACTCATTATGAGAACCCCTGTGAACATTCTCAACTCAGGAAATAAATTTCCAGCTATAAGTAAAACCTGGGAATTCAGAATTGCTGTCTCTGTCCTGAATTACTCTATCAAATTCAAATGATCTGACCCCTAAAAAGTTTCAATGACTTAAACATAACTAACTTCAACAAAAATTCAAGAATTTTAAAATGCTAAAAATAAAGTTCCAGCTATCTGACTCCAATAAACAGGAACCAAATTAAACACCAGCATTTCAGGCTGGATGCTTTATGAAGGTAATTGAATTTGATAAAGAAGCCAAAAGCCAATAAATCCAATTCAATTAACAATTTTCTACATGCAAAGGGATAACTAAGTCCAAGATGAAGCAGCGTAGGATAGGAGAGAGTTGATTACATAAATGAACCAAATCTTGAGAAACCTGATGTCGTTTCTGTACTGCGCACTGTGCTTGAAAGCAGCGATACAATCTGAAAGAAGCTTGTCGAGATCTGCACTGGAGTGGTCGCCGGAGTACCATTTGTCCAGCGCCTTCTTTATCGACCTGTGTAACCAAAAAGTAGAACGAATTTATCGCAAACAGAAGTATTTCTACAACCAGACCCAACACAAAAGGGAAGGCGATGGGAGGAGAGGAGTACCAGAGCCATGGAAGGAGGGGGTCGCGAGTTGCGGTGGAGTCATCGGACTCTTGGAGGATGACCGCCATACCTTTACGTCTTCGGTATTCCTCCGATTTGGAATGGAAAAACAGAAAAAAGAGAGGGAAATTGCTGGATTTCAAAATTGGACTCCACGGAACACGCAGACAGGGAACAGAAGTTAAAAAAAAAGGATATGGGGAAACTCCCGGCTTAAGATGACGCTTTGGGAAGTGATTTTTCTTGTAGATCAGCTTTTTACAAGCGTTTTTCCCTATATTGATTGTCTAATCTACGACTCGAAGCTAAAATATCATATTCAAGCAAAAAGGGAGCTTGACTGAAACTTGAGGGAGCTAAAAGAATTTTTTCCTAAATGTAAAATTTTTTTATCGACGGGTGTAGTACGAAATGGTGTTGGACATGACAGAACAAGCGATGAATTTTTGGTTGAAAATGATTTACTGCCGCAGTCATTGCTCTGCTAAAGAAGCTGTTGTCCACTTGAGAATCTCTAGAAACTCAGTATTTATAAAATGACTTTATTTCTATACTTAGTAGCTTATTTTATATTTTGACAATGATTATTAACATATTTTTTTTAAATCTAATTGTTTACATTCATTGTAAATATAATTTACATCTTATATTTAATAAGTTAATTAAATATATTTATGTTTACATTATAACTAACGTCATATAGAGATTTTAATATAATCTTCTTTTGTCCTTTTTGGTGAAATTATAATCTTGTTTCTTTGTATTACTCATCTCCATTCTACCGCTGCAATTCATCATCTCGTAGGCGATAACCTTGCTTCTTCTAAGGACAATAAGTGCTTTGTTTTTTTATTAAACTCTATCTACCAAAAAACGTCAGAAAAAATCTTACTTCAGAAGGGGCATAACACAACGACGCAAAAAGAAGGGGCAAAAAGAAGCAGGGAAAATGTCGTCTTCTTCAGAAGAAAGCTTGAAGCAGCGATTGGAAGAGTTGCAGAAATAGCTCGAGAAGAAACAGCGGTTCGAGGAAGCAGTTTTCTCCATAAATTCCCTCCTTCAAAACCATTTCTCGTCCGCTTCTCCCTCTCTCCGCAAATCGGTATGCTATTTCAATCCCCCTCTTTTAATTTGGAATTTCTTTCGATTTCCATTTGGTTGAGTTCATCAGTTTTAGGCATTTGATTGTTCGAGCTTTGTCGTAGCAATTTTATACCCTTTTTTATTTTGATCGGCAGTTTTTTACGGTTGTATGCTGAGTTGCGACCATTTTTGGCTTCTGGCTCGTCGAATTGCGGCTGATATGTTCTGTTATTTGCTATTGAAGGAATCGGAGGAGTCGACGGAGATGGAGATGGCGATGATTGCAGAAGGAACAAAAAGGAGGAGGGGCTGGGGATTAAGAGAAGAACGCCGTTTTGGTTGGGACTCCATTTTTTCTTTTGGAGGGAGGAGTAATCTGAACTTTGCCGTATTAATAATATATATTTCAATGTGCAAAAATAAATAAATATATAAAGGGCCTATTTAAGTATCAGAATAAGTTGAGGGACCCAAATGAGATATTAACCCAAAAAATGAAAATGCAGAAAGAAAGGTATCGCCTTTCCCACATACAACAAAAACGCCCGGGACACATAAGCATACCAGAGAAAAATGGAGCTTGTGGTTGTGGTCCTCACTCTGTCCCTCTCACTTTTTCTAACATCTGCTTCTCTCCATTTCTTTATTATTCTTTTCTCTTCCCCTTTGCCAATCCTCACATATATTCAGATACAGATACTCTGTTTGTTGGGTGGCGCTTGTTTCCTTTATCTTATTGCTAGATGGATGCAAAGGGGGAGCAAAGGATGGGCAGGATGGTTAAAAGGGAGGCAGATGTTGAGTCTGATGATGATAGTGGCTATGAGAGAGAATTTGGTGGGTATTGGGATGATGATGATGATGGGAGCTTCAAGAAAAAGAAAAGTTTGGGTCTTGGTGGCAGTGGTGGCGGTGGGTCGGTGAGGAAGGGGTCAAGTGGTGGAGGAGGAGGAAGAGGGGGTGGTGTTGTTATGAGGTGTTGTCAGGCTGATAATTGTACGGCCGATTTGAGTGATGCCAAGCAGTATCATAAGAGGCATAAAGTGTGTGAGCATCATGCTAAGGCTCAGGCTGTGCTTGTGGGTGGGATTAGGCAGCGGTTTTGTCAACAATGTAGCAGGTTTTTGGGCTTACCCTTTCCTTTTCCAGTTTCCTTGACATTAATGCTATGTTGATATTACATCTTTTTCTTCTTTACTCCGACTCTAGTTCAATTGGGTTTCCTATCCATCTTTTACCAGTTAGTATTTGATGTTGGCAGATGGAATTTTTAATTTTTCCATGGCAAAAGTTACAAACTTCTGTCCTGCTTACCTTTTGGTTGTCATAGCTTACGTTTCAAGCTTATTTTGATTGTTTCAGGGGATTCATTAGGTGAATCCAAAAAGGTTGTAACTTTTTAGTTTTTGCTGACCCGAGTAGCTTCAATTGTTGTGTTGTCTTGTCTTTAACGGCTTCTTTTCAACTCTCAAGTGAGAAATATTTTGTTTAGGAGTGGTCGGGTATAAGAGTTGAATAAATCTTGAATTGGATTCTTAACAATAGTATGATGCTGTTGCCTAACCTATTGTTATAAAATTCACTTCATTGTTGGCAGAATCATAGGTCAATTTTCTTATATAATCTTGTTTTATGTGAGAAACTCTGAACACATGTTCCAGAGGAAGGTAGCACTAAATGGTTATAAATAAAATTTGTATAGTCGATTTTATCCATGCTTGGATTGCTTGATTCCAGTCAGTGTTGGTTGTTTAATATAGATCTCTTAATCCTTATATCAATATGAGTTCCTCTGACCTCATTTGATTCAGCCTTCTCTTATGCCATCAGTTCAATGACCTCACAGGCCTACATAAAATTGCTAAGAACTTTATAATGCTGCATATATCCTTGTATCTTCTAACATTTTGATGCTAATTTCACCATACCATGTCTAAATTAATATCATTTTTACCACAAGACCACTAGATTGATTCTTTCTTTTTCATTTTCGGGTGTAAAGCCAGCTCAAAGCCAGCTCATTCATCACACCAGTTTTGGTTCATGGAAAATATGAACGAATATAATTGTCTGAAATGGGGGAAAAATCCTTCGTTCTTTCATTCTCTTGTTCTCAATTTCATACATGCTAGAGTTACATGCATTCTCTTTTAACACTTTTTGTGATCCCATTACCAGTTAGTTCATGTATCATGATTCCGTAGTGTTTGTTCAATGTCTAAATAAGTCCTTCATTACCAGTTTATTTAGTTATCATGACGCTGGATGATCTAATGTAGATTCCATGAGCTATCGGAATTTGATCAAGAGAAAAGAAGTTGTCGCAGGCGTTTGGCCGGGCACAATGAACGGCGAAGGAAGACATCAGCTGAATCTCATGCAGAAAGCTCAAGCTGCAAGAGGACAGGAATTCAGTTGAAGGACATGCTTGGGCAGGTTGATGATCACAGAGGAAGAATTAAGCTGACTATCCGAGAAAACTCTGCTTAAACACTTCTAGATCAAATGAGTGCTAACTGTTTGCTCAGATGCTCGCTCTCTTCTGTCATCCGGGAGGAATTGGTATAGTCCATAACATTAGTAAGCGTCAAATGCTATCTATTTATATATCAGTTGTTTCAAGGACCTTTTAATGCCTTTTGAGAGGTGGTACTAATATGTATTGGGGGGAGGCATCCTCTGTAATACTTCACTGATAATTAAGTTTGTGACTTATAAAAAAAGGTGCAATATTTAGATATTGAGGATTTATATTTAGATGGATACAAACCTAATGAAGCAATTGAAAAATCCAGAAAATTGAAAGGAGTTAAGAAAATGGTTAGAGATTAATTTTATTAAGCGAAGATCACCCACTAACGCATACAAGCTTTGTAGCCTAGGTAAGGGGCATATTGTTACCTCGTGCACAAGAGACGAGCTCGAATTCCTTTACCTCAACCTAAAAAATTCACCAATCAAAAGGTGGAGAATAAATAGATACAATCAAGGCCAAGTGTAAAAATTACTTCTCAAAATTGTTGTGTTAGAGTAAATCAATACCTAAAAAAATGTTAATGCAATTTATAATTTTAAATTTTTATTTTTAAAAAATTAGTTCAAATTTAACAATTTCTGTTAAATTTTATTAAGCAATTACTCTTGAACTTTAACAAAATGTTAATGACAATTGTTGAATTTGTATCGATCTTTTAAAAATAAAAATTCAGGTGATAAATTACGTTAATATTTTTTTAATAAGAATTTATTTCAATACAATAATTTTGAGGGGTAATATACATATTTTGCCTAGAATCAAACACTTAAACCTTGTAGTTGACGGTGATATGGAATGATGGCTACTAACAAGAGGAACATGCATGTTGCATGCTATTAGGGATAAGTAATGAAGAAAATGATTCACGCCCGAGCTTTTATTTCCCATGACAGGCAAGGGTGCGCACTGGTAGGGTACGTTTTGTTTTCTCTCTCTCTCTCTTCGTTACGTGTACATCCATGTCAATTAGAGATAAGTTCAGAGATAGAATCGGACACTT